CTCGTCGTTGATGACTTTATATGTTGAAACCCGGAAATCATGATAACCCACCCCTCCAGTTCTTGCCTCTGTAGTCTGTACCTAGCAGTATTAGTACTCATCGAAAAACCGTCTGAATCATTGACTGATCACCCTATCCCTTATCTTAAACCAACAATTCCCGATTCTGATATTGAATCGAGTAATCCACACGTCACCCGGATATCCAGCATGCAAACGATAGATAACAAGTTTCGCCTTCTGTCAAGCGGGAGTTTTAGGTCACGGTTGAGGGGCAAATGACCCGGCCCGCGCCACAGGTGCCCAAATTTGCATCGGGCCCAGGGGGTGGGCGGCGTGGGCCGGCGGCGCCCTGCCGCCGCCGGCAGCCCCCAAACGGCCCCCGACGTGCATATTTCGTAGGAAAAGCGCGTCCTCGCCTCCATGTCGGCGTCGCGAGGGTGCGTGTGCGCAGAGTCCGCACCCAGACGGCGTATCGAACCCCCGCCCTACTCACCCAACAGGAGCAGCTTGATGTCCTTGGCGGCCTGGATGCCGTCCTCCTTCAGGTTCTTCTCGATCTGCTTGCTGCGGGCGATGGCCGCCCGCTCCTCCGCCGAAGAAGTGCACCCCATCCTGCAGGTTCCCTCCGAGCAAAACGTCGCGCCGGCTGTTGCACCCCTCGACACTCACACTAGCACCGCAGGTCGCGCTGCCCCCATCCACCGCTTGGCATAGCACGGTCCGCGCGCCGCCGCCGCTTTTCCTTGGTCTCGGCTGTTGCAGGAATTTCGACACAACGGAGCTGGACGCGTCCGCCTCGAACGCACACTCGCTCGATGCTGGCCGCCGCGGGGTGCGCACGCGCCGGGGACACGCATGGGCGCCGTCGCCGGCGACGCGGCGCGTCGGGACGTCAAGGACGGGAGGGAGCGCCACGGACGAGATGGACGGCGGGATGGGACGGTTTCGAAGATGATCGGGCGGGGTGGAGGACGAGCGAGCTTTAATTAGGCTAGTGGGTGGAAATGGTCATATTGCTCATGGGTGGTTTACCGTATTTTTGACGACAGGTTGACAATGACGTACGATGCGGACACTGTTGACAATTATTATGACTCAGTAATGCACCTGTTGTTAGATTCTTTGTGCTCTCTTTTGCCAACTTCGTCACTGCTTATTTTAACAGTTTTAAGTAAAAAATAGAGGCGGATTAATAAACTACAGGGATAGAAAAGAAATGTGGGTAAAATTTCATAAATAAATAACACAAATAACAATATTCACTGATAGATGAAATTTATAACAGGTTCTCGACTGATTTCTCTAATTTATGACAACGAATTCGATTTTATATAAGTCGTTTGAAAGAACGAATGCTATTAGAAACTGGTAGACTTGGAGTCATATATTTGTTAACACTTCTAGAGTGTAGATACTACTTTACTCTTACTATAAATTCATTGTAAAATTTTTGATGTATATAAAGGAAGTGTTTAATAAAAACCATACTTCCAGTAACTTCAAGTTTTCATGTCAGGATTAATCTGAAATTTTGATGGACAATTTACCATGTTTCTGATTACCTTAAAACGTTTGTAAAATTCCAGAGCATTCGGTTGTGCAGTTTCAAAGTTAAGTTGTAAAATGTTGCTATACAGTCCTGATTTTTTTTCCAGAAAACTGAGTGTCAAGGGGACAAATTGAACAGCAACTCATAAACCACAACTGTAGGAGCATAAATAGACAAGCTGGGAATACGAAAATGTTAAAATCTGATAAAACTGATTTTGGCAGATGACATACCACTAAGAAAAGAGAGGGCGGGTGGGTGGGGCTAGTACTTTCTAAAGTACTACTGATTTTGGCAAATGACATATCCTCTAGTACTTTCTAAAGTACTACTGATTTTGGCAGATGATATACTCTTTAAGAAAATAGAGGGTGGGTGGGAGGGGCTAGTACCTGTTAAGGTAAAACTGATTTTGGCAAATGTCTTAGAAGGTGTCATTTGCAAAATCAGTTGTATCATAGAAGGTGAATATACTACGTAGTCGTCTTTTCAGAACAAAAAATCTTAAAAACATGTTTAAAATGGTAAAACCTTCTAGACAAATATGGATCTTGGAATTAAGCTCCGCCTCTCGATTTGACAACGAATGAAAAATTTATCACAATGGAGAATTATGATCGGGGCGGGTATGGGTGTGTCCTAATCTTTGGCTTAATTTTTTTATTAATATACATAGTATTCTATAAACAACACGATACTCAAAAAAATGTTTTTAATTTCTCGTTGAGAAATAAGGATTTTGCAGTTAATCTCCGCCTTCTTATATCACGATGAATGAAAAAAAAATCATCACAATCGAGATAGGGCGGGTGGGCGGGGTACATTTTTTTCCCTGAATATACTACGTAGTCGTCTTTTCAGAACAAAAAAACTTAAAAACATGTTTAAAATGGTAAAACCTTCTAGACAAATATGGATCTTGCAATTAAGTCCCGTCCCTCGATTTAACAACGAATGAAAAATTTATCACAATTGAGAATTAAAATCGGGACGGGGATGGGTGTGTCGTAATCTTTGGCTTTATTTTTTTCTTAATATGCATAGTATTTTTTGAACAACACGGTGGGTATTCAGAAACATGTTTTTAATTTGTCGTAGAGAAATAAGGATTTTGCAGTTAAGCTCCGCCTTCTTGGCTCACGACGAATAAAAAAATCAGCACAATTGAGATGGGGCGGGTGGGCGGGGCTAGATTTTGCCTTTTTTTCTTAATATATGTAGACTTATTTCGACAACAAGAAACTTATAACATGGTAAATTTTTGTAGTAATCAACTTAAATCCTCCACTTTTCTTCTACAACCCCTTTAAATATGGCTGGTTGAACATCAAAGTTACGATCAACGGCAACTTGGCAGCGAAGTTTATAACTGGCAAGTCTGCACATATTAAAACAAAAAGGCAAAATGTCAGCCCACCCACCCGCCCGATCTCAATTGTGATGATTTTTTTTATTCACTGTGAATTAAGGTGACGGAGCTTAACTGCAAAATATTTGTTTCTTTACAAGACATTAAAAAAATGTTTTTGAGTATCCTGTTATTCAAAGAATACTGTACATATTAAGAAACAAAGGAAAATATAAACCCCGCCCACCCACCCCATCGCAATTGTGATGATTTTTTTTATTCGCCGTGAACAAAGCGGGCGGAGCTTAACTGCAAACTACTTACTTATTTACAAGAAATTAGAGGCATGTTTTTGAGTATCGATGTTAAGTTTTTTTCCAAAAATCGCGAAGTCAAGGGTAGGAACTCTGATTTATTAAAATTTAAATAACATTTTAGGCAAAATTTTGTGATGTCATTAATTTTTATCCTTTAACCATGCTTACGATAACCTTAAAACGTTTTCAAGAATTTAGAGCATCCGGTTTTGCAGTCACATACATGTAGAAAAAACGAATATATAACAAATTATTATTAATATGAAGTCAATGATGAAAAACATAAAAATTAAAAAACAACATAAAAAACAATAAAATAACCGGGAACATATTTTATCATTTGAACCGACCCAAACGTTACGTTAATTTTTATACATTTCATTCCGAAATTTCGTCCTATGTATTTCATTTTCAAATTGGTTGTTGGATTACGTTAATTTGTTAATAAAAAATACTACTTCCCATTTAAAATTTTCCAGTAATACATTTAGTAAATAAGAGTACTGTTTGGTTTAAAATGTTATATCAAAAAGTTCTCGTTCCGAATTCACAATTTTTTGTAAGTAACGCAAGAAAAAAATCGACGTGGGTAAAACTCAACAGTTTATTTCTTAATAACTCAAATTTACACAACTAATCACACAGCGATTATGTACAAAATAATTCTGGCGCAACATTCACTAGACTGGGTTGCCCATCGCGACTTCCGCTTCCAGGCTTTTCTTTAGCGAACGCCGGCCGCTGTCATCGACGATGCGTCATCATCTTCGTATGTACTAGTAAGTTCTCGATGGCCCAATTGAGATAGGGCGGGTAGGTGGGGCTTATATTTTGCTTTTTTCTCAATATACGTAGTCGTCTTTTCAGAGCAAGAAAAAACTTACATGTTTAAAATGCTAAATTTGTTTAGAGAAATATCGATTTTGCAATTACGCTCCACCCCTCGGTCTGACAACGAATGAAAAATGTATTACGATTGAGATCGAGACGGATGGGTGGGGCTTCTCTTTTGGTTTTCTTTGTATAACACGATTACTTAATATTTACAACGGTAATTTCTCGTAGAAAAATAAGGATTTTACTATTAAGCTCCGCCCCTCGGCTTACGACAAATAAAAAAAAATCATCAGTCTTGAGACCGGGCGGGTGGGCGGGGCATATATTTTGCCTTTTCTTACTTCCCGAGCGTAAGCGAAGGAAGAATTGTAATCGAGTCCGTCGGCCGACTCTCTACTTTTACGTTTTCTTGACTTTTCATGACCCCTACAGTACGAATAAATAGGTCTCCGTTTCCGTCTGTCTGCCATTCCGGATTTTTTCTTAATATACATAGCCATCTTTTCACAACAAGAAACTTACAACATGGTTACATTTTTGCAAGGAAATATGGATTTTGCAATTATGGGGCAGAGCCTCATTGCAAAATCGATATTTCCCTATACAAATTTTCCATTTTAAACATGTTTTAAATTTCAAGTTGTGAAAAAAAGTCTACACATATTAAAACAAAAAAGAAATATGTCAGCCCGCCCACCCGCCCTATCGCAATTGTGATGATCTTTTTTTTATTCGTCGTGAACCAACGGGACAGAGCTTAACTGCAAAATACTTATTTCTTTGTAAGAAATTAAAAACATGTTTTAATTATCGTGTTGTCGAAAGAATACCATGTATATTAAGAATAAAAGGCAAAATATTAACTAAACTAAATATTAATTTTTTGTAAGTAACGCAAGAAATTTTGATCCTTGTCCTCCTTATTCTATCCAAGTGTTTAGGAATTATGGAAACCCGCAGTGATGAGGCCGATTAGTGAGTGTTCTAATGCGTAGATACGAAGAAGAAAAATAAAAGAATTTTCTGCCAATAAAAATATTGTTACGTTGATCGGTGAAAAAAATCGACGTGGGTAAAACTCAACAGTTTATTTCTTAATAACTCAAATTTACACAACTAATCACACAGCGATTATGTACAAAATAATTCCGGCGCAACATTCACTGGACTGGGCTCGTTGACTGAGAGCGCCGCTTCGAGGTTTTTCTGGGTTGCCCATCGCGACTTCCGCTTCCAGGCTTTTCTTCAGCGAACGCCGGTCGCTGTCATCGACGATGAGCCATCATCTGCGTATATACTAGAACGTTCTCGACGGCCCATAGGCGTCGTACCGGGACGGCGTGTGGGTTTATTTCTTAACAATAATATAATAATAAAGTATATTTACCTACCAACGGAAGAGCCTTGAATTTTATTCAAATTCTGAAAAAAAACAAAAGAGAAAAATAGGAGTATTAAACATTTTGTATACCTATTCCCCATTTAGTAAAATTTGTTCTTTTTTATTAAATACAGAAATTTACTTCACTGATAGGTATGTCCTTCTTTACAACCTACACAGGACCTATTTTTGATAAAGGTAGATAAATTAACCAATTACTGATATGACGTGATCAATGTTTTCGTGACGATAAAAAATGTCAGATGTTGAGGTTCAATAAGGAGCTTTCAGGACTAGATAAAATAAAAAAAAAAACGTTCCTGCAGCAACGTTTCGGGTCTACCACATCTTCCTCAGTCTACAATATTATGTTTCATGTTGAAAAAAATATTACAAAAAATCGACACTACTGTGTCACAATTTCCACGAAATCTAAAGTAAAAAAATTTATATATTTTTCTAGAGCAAAACTATTTAACAATTAAAAAAAAATGGTCGAAGGTTATTTCAACAGAGCTTCCCTTGACCCTGAAGTACACCAGTAGACATTTTCATGTAGATTTCGACATCCAGAAGTCATTTTTGGCTTCGTTTCTTCCAAAATTTTTATCGCTCATTGAAATATAATAATTTTGACAGTTCCAGAAGCATTTTTTTTTTACTTTTTTCACATTCTAGATTCAGTTTCCACTTCCACTACATTGGAGAACACAATTATCCCCGCACACCCACCCTGCTTTCATTTTAGTGATTGATTTTATCCGGTCTGAATGAAATGAAAGATCTTATCATGAACAGAAATAAAAGTAGTCGTTAGAATGAGAAGAGTGGGGTGGGCGGGACTAGTACTTGCTAAGATGAAACTGATTTTGATAAATGACATAACTTCCAAGGACAGGGGAGGCGGGTGGGCGGGGCTAGTATTCGCTTAAGATGAAACTTAGGCAAATGACATTCCCTTCAAAAAAATAGAGGGCGGGTGGGCGGGTCTAGTATTTCGTAAGATCAGGCCCATTTTGCCACTTTTGGCATTTTCGACAATTTTTCAACCATTTTCAAAACTTAGCTAAAGCCACTTTCTTGTAGATTTCGACGTCTAGAAGTCATTTTCGGTTGTGTTTCTTCGGAAATTCTCATCGTTTTTTGAGAATCGTCAATTGTAATTTGTTTATCGATTATAAAAAAAATACACTGTCAGTCCGAATTTTCCGGAAGTTTTTAACCCTTACAAATTAAAATACGTTACAAAATTTTGTGATGACGTCATCAAATTTTGAGAAATGTCATCTTATTTTATTAAATTCAGAACAAATTTAGTAGTGTAAATTTTGGAAATGACGTAATCCCATTGATGGTGGGGATGGTTGGCCAAATTTTGATTAGTATCATCTACATGATAGTCCTAATACACTTGTAGGTACACCAAAATTTGACAACAATCAGATAGTTGCAGAAACTATCTGAATAATAATGCAAACCGACGGCCAGACGGAAACGGGAGATCACTTTTTCGTTCTCTAGAGGTCATGAAGAGTCGAGAAAACATGAAAGTGGCTACGCTTACGCTCAGGAAGTAAAAATAAAAATATCACATTGGTTTGTTTAACAATTGTTGGCGGTAATTAAATTTTAGTTAATCAGTGTTTGCGTTTTAAAAAAATTTCGAGGAAACCTGTGATGGATAGCTCGGAAAAGTCATAAAATTTAATGAGCAAAACTATTTCAGGATAATGTTATAAATATAGTTAAAAATAGATGTACATGTCAAATCAAGGGTCAAGGATTGCATGATTTTGCAGCTTTATGGTGATAGTGGGAAAAGTGTAGCTTAGATAACGTCACTCATTTTTTGAAGTGAATGAACACACTTTTGGTTAGCATCGTAAAATACGTTTAAAATTGTTCAATTTTTTTAAGACTCAACCTTTGACAATAATAAATAACAGTCGATAACACGTTTACAGGAGCCTGTCGTAACTTTTAATAATTGTAATCACAGACAACTACACTCCGATGATGACGAAGCTGTTACGCTACGACACCTTGAAATTAATTATTGTGGTAAATTTTACCTTTTGTTCATATTTAACTGAGTTTTTAAAAGGCTGCATTGCAGACATTACACAACTCAGATTACACAATAAGCTACTGTTCTAATGACAAAACTTTTTGTGTCTGTCGTTGTCATTAGCGTAAAAGAAATTTTATAATGCGCTTGGGATAAGCCGGGTTTACCTACACAAAAACTGTATAATTGTATTTCTCTCGGTGGTGTTCGGTGGTTACAATATTGTTATTAAAAATTTAAAAAACTTAAAAAATCCTTACTAAGTACCCATTTAATGTTAATTATATTAAGAACAGTACGTCAGTGGAAATGTGGAATATTTTGCACAGTGTATATGCAGATAAAAATTAGCATAAATAACAATAAATATTATTGTTAATGAAAATGTAGTAGATAAGCGAATCAGATCCTGGATTACGTATGAAAATTTCCACTCTCGAATTTCCACACAACACCAAGTTGTTTATAATTAATGTTTATTTAGTGTAAGAATGCGGTTGGTTGGTAATTTCGTAATTTTTTTGCGGTATTTTGAAAATCGTATCAATTACAATTACAAAAATAACCGTCAATTACAACAAATAACACTCTAAACGCAAATACAGGCAACCAACTATACACCAGCGCGGCCATTACAGCAAAATCAACGCCTGCTAATTTTCAAAAATTTGACAAACACGCCCGCCATATTAGATTTCCGCGTTGTTTGTTGTGTTAATTGTTGATATTATTTTCAGTACAACACGATTTTCAGCCACACAAAGCGAATTTCGACAACATGCCGAAGTTACAACTCAAACGCCAAAGCAACAAGGAGAACATTCCACAAGCATTAAAACGAAAAAAGACGCCACTGGGGTCTTCAAGTTTGCGATCTCCAAAACTCCTATTTAGCGAAGAAATCGTCGACCTGACCACCAGCGACAACGAAAGCACGAGTTTGATGAAAAGAAGACGAAGAAAGCTCTCGAGTTCAAGATCATCACGATTTTTTTCTTGTAAAGACAGCATAACAGTAAGCAGTGACGATGAAAGCAATGACAGCACCCATTTTGAGGAAATCTTAAAACTTGTGCAGAAACCGCGGGCTCGCAGAAGCGACAGCGACCGCAGCGCTGAAAAATTCCTGCAATCGCTGGAGGCTCGTGAAAACAAACAGACCAAGGCATCAAAAATTCATAAAGAAAGGGTGCCGTCAAAAAGTGAAAGAGTTGATGGGAGTTTCTTACGCAGCGAGAGTTTTGATTCAACGTTGAAGTTTTTGTTGACTCCACCGAGTGATTGTAGTCCAGTTACATCGTCACAAAGCAGCAGTGCGGACAAGTCTGATTTGAGTTTTGAAGAAATAATAAACATACTTTTAACGCCGGATGCTAGTCCACTGATTAAATCAAAGGTTGTACAGAAACCGCAACCCAAGGTGCAGCCACCGGTGGTTAGAAAATATGAAATTGGTGGATCCACAAAAATGGTAACTGGTGCGGTTTCAAAATATGGGAAAGATGGTGAAGCAAAATATAAGGGGGAATTCACTAAGGTATCGTATTATGTCGGGTTACTTTAATAATAAGCGGACAATGTCCAAGGCTTAATTTTTTCAAAAAACAATATTTTCAGAAACCATTAAATGGAAAATGACGATTTTCGAGATAAAAAAATCTGGGTATTAACACTGTATGTTTTTTGAATTAGCTTCTTGAATTTTAAAATTCCACAATTTTTAGTCAACTTTTCAAATATCTCAAATTTTCGATACTCCTATACAATTTTTTGACAGGTTTTAGCGCACTTTCCAAAATTTCTCAGACATTTTCTTGAAGATTTTGTATTATACATTTTTTGCAAAGACACTAGTTGCGTCCAAGATTTCACATTCTTAAAACAAATACACACACATTAGGAGATCCAAAAATTGTATCAAATTATTTTCAAAAAGACAATTCAAATGATTTTCCAAGATCTTTTGAAATTCTTTCAAACATTCTATAGATTCTAGAGCTCCTTATGATTCCCTGAAACTCTTTCATAAGAACGAAACACCAGAAGCTCTCAAGATATTTTCAAATTTTTTCCAAAAACAAAACAAATAGTTCCAAAGATTGGTTGACATTAATAAACCAATCAAACTCTTTCAAAAGTATCAGGAGCTCCTAAAATCTTTTCAAACTCTTTTACAAAACATCAGAAGCCCAAAGTGATTTATAGATTTCATAGAAAAATTCATCTCAAAGTCATTAAAATGATATTTGAAGAGCTTATGTATCATGGTTTCCTAACAAATTCTGTGCTAAACTCCCTACTGGTTAAAATTTTCTGTGTGGGAAATTTGGATTTCGCAGTTATGCTCCGCCCTTGGTCTGACAACGAATGAAAAATTCGTCAGAATTGACAGCGGGGCGGTTGAAGGTGGGACTTAATCTTTGGCTTTCTTTTTCACCTTATACATATACCTAATTTTCTCTGAACAACACAATTACGTAAGAAGTTGCTTCACATGGTAATTTTTTGTAAAGAAATAAGGATTTGGTAATTAAGCTCCGCCCCTCGGCTCACGACGAATAAAAAAGATCATATCAATTGAGACATGGGTGGGTGGGTGGGGTTTATATTTTTCCTTTTTTTTTAACATACGTAGTCTTCTTTTACTAGCAAGAAACATAAAACATGTTATTGCTAAGACTGATTTTGGCAAATGATATAATAGAGGGGAGGTGGGCGGGGCTAGACTTGCTAAAATAAGGCTGAACAATGTTAAGAATAATCACTAGAATGAAGAAGGGGTGTAGAAAAAACTAAACCCAGCCCCGCCCCGCCCACCCGTCCTCTATTGTTTTAGAGGGTATATCATTTGCCAAAATCAGTTTTATCTTTACAATACTAGCCCCGCCCACCCCCCTTTATTTTCTTAAACGATATGTCATTTGTCAAAATCAGTCGTATCTTAGGAAGGATTAGCACCGCCCACCCGCCCTCTATTTTCTTAAAGATTAGATAATTTGCCAAACTCAGTCTTATCGTTATAAATACAAGGTCCGCCCCCTGACTCACGAGGAATAGAAAAAATCATCACAATTGAGATAGGGTGGGTGGGCGGGGCTATATTTAGCCTTTGTTTTTCTTAATGTACGTAGTCTTCTTTTCACAAGAAGAAACTTAAAGCATGTTTAATAGGGTAAATTTTTGTAGGAAAATATAGATTTTGCAATTATACTTAGTCCTACCCACTCCCTCTTTATTTTCTTAGAGCGTAAGTCATTTGTCTTATCTTAAAAAGTACTAGCTCCGCCCACCCACCCTCTATTTTCTCAGAGGATATATCATCAAAATCAGTCTTATCTTTATAAGTACTTTTATAAGTCCGCGCCCTGACTCACGAGGAATAGAAAAAATCATCACAACTGGGATGGGGTGGGTGGGCGGGGCTATATTTTGCCTTTGTTTTTCTTAATGTACTTTTCACAAGAAGAAACTTCAAGTATATTTAACATGGTAAATTTTTGTAGGGAAATATCGCGGATGGGTGCGCTCTCTATTTTCTTAGAAAGTGCCAAAATCAGTCGTATCTCAGAAAGTACTAGCTACTATTTATTTTCGGCTTCATTTCTTCGAAAATTACAGCAATTTTTTCAAAATTGATAAAATAAAAAAAGACAATTTTGTAAAAAAAAACGTTTTCAAACCGAATTTTCTGAATTGGTCCGAAATCATTGACACTTGACAACTTTTAGAAAACCTCAATTTTTCAAATCGTTTTTTTGGCAATTTTTTGAAAACCCTTCGAGTATTACCTACAGACATTCTGTTGGAGATTTCAACTTATAGAAGCTCATTTAAGCTACATTTCTTCTACATTAGAACAATATTTTTGGAATCGATAAAATGAAGAAATGATAAATTCGAAATTTAGCCCTGAGATCTACTTCCCAAAATTTTTTGACTGTTTTTCTAGCACCTTTAGAAAATTACCTAGACATTTTCTTGTAGATTTAGACTTGTAGAAGTTTTATTAATTTATGATTTTAGAATCACTAGATCTAGATCATAGAATTTTTTGAGGATGTTCAAATTTTTAATACGATTTTTTTACAATTTTTGGAGAACCCTTCCAAATTTCCAGAATCCATTAAATGGAAAATGACAATTTTCGAGACAAAAAAAATTAATTTCAAAGCGAATGTTTCGAAAATCTGGGTCTGGAACTATTAACACTTTGTGTTTTTTGAATCAGCCTGTTGAAATTTAAAATTCCAGAATTTTTAGTCATCGTTTCAAATATCTCAAATTTTCAATACTCCCGTAGATTTTTTGACCATTTTTTGAGCACTTTTCGAAAATTACTCAAACATTTTCTTGAAGATTTTGTCTTATAGAAGCTATTTTCGGGTTCATTTCTTCGAAAATTGCAGCAATTTTCTCAAAATTGATAAAAGAAAAAAAAATTTGTAAAAAACATTTTCAAACCGAATTTTTCGAATTGGTCCGAAATCATTGACACCTTATGATTTTCGAATAGTTCGTCGAGATTTATATGCCAGAATTTTTTGAAGATTTTTGGCAACTTTTGGAAAATCTCAATTTTTCAAATCGTTTTTGTATTACCTACAGACATTCTTTAGTAGATTTCGACTTATAGAAGCTCTTTTAGGCTACATTTCTTCTAAATTACAACAATATTTTTAGAATCGTTAAAAAGAAAATTTCGAAATGTAGCCCTGAGATCTAGTTCCCCAAATATTTTGACTGTTTTTCGAGCAGCTTTAGTAAAAAATTACCTACAGACATTTTCTTGTAGATTTAGACTTGTAGAAGTTATTTACGGTTTCATTTTTTCGAAAATTCCAACAATTTTTTCAGAATAAAAAAAATGAAAAAATTACAATTTTGTCTACGAATTTTTCAAAAATCTTGGTCTGGGAACACTAAACGCTTTATATTTTTCGAATCTTAAGACGATTTTTAGTCGTCTTTTCAAAAATCTCAATTTTTCAATACCCCACGTATGAATTTTTGCGGAGAAACGATACTCGTGTGCAAAAATTTCAACTCGAACGAAAAGAACTTTAATTAACTGTCGAGTGGGAATGGAAAGTAATAATGGATTAATGGAACAAAAATTAATAACAATTTCCTTTTTTATCTACAACATTTTTATAAAAACCTATTTTGACGAAACTCTAAAAGTATTTCAATTAACGATTTTAGAAAAACGATAGAAATTTCCGAAGAAACGAACCCGAAAATGACATCTGAATATCAAAATCTACAAGAAAGTGTCTTCAACTAATTTTATTGAAAAATGTGAAAAGTGCCAAAGTCAGTCCTATCTTATCAAATACTAACCCCGCCCACCCAGCCTCTATTTTCTTAGAGGGTATGTCATTTGCCAAAATCAGTCCTATCTTAGCAAATGATAGATATCCAAAGACATTTTCTTGAAGATTTTGTCTTGTAGAAGCTACTTTTGGCTTCATTTCTTCGAAAATTGCAGCAATTTTTTCAAAATTGAGAAAACAAAAAATGACAATTTTGTAAAAAAAGAAATATTTTCAAACAGAATTTTTCGAATTGGTCTGGAATCATTGACACCTTATGAATTTCGAGTAGCACGTCGAGATCTATATTCTATATCCTAGAATTTTTTGAAGATTTTTGGCAACTTTCTGAAAATCTCAATTTTTCAATACCTAGGACTTGGTTTTTTTGACAATTTTTCAAAAACCCTTCGAGTATGGCCTACAGACATTCTGCTGCAGATTTCGATTTATACCTTATAAGCTTTTTTAGGCTACGTTTCTTCAAAATTACAGTAATATTTTTAGAATGGATAAAATTAAAAAATGACAATTCGAGATTTTGTTCAGGAACCATTTACACTTTTAGAATTAGTCCTGACATTTTCTTGTAGATTTAGACTTGTAGAAGTTACTTAAGGTTTCATTTCTTTGAAAACCGCAACAGTTTTTCGAATCTTTAGAGGATTTTTAGTCGACTTTTCAAAAATCTCAATTTTTCAATATCCTCACGTATGAATTTTTCGATAGTTTTTCGAGCACCTTTCGAAAATTATCTAAAAATATTTTCTTATAGAAGCTATTTTCGCTTTTATTTCTTCGAAAATTCGCACAATTTTTCCAAAATCAATAAAATGAAAAATTACAATTTTCGAGATATACATAGGTATATTCAAAAATTTAATTACACAAACCGAATTTTTCGAAAGTCTTGGTCTAGAACGATTAATTTATGTTTTAAGAATCACCTCATCGAGATCTAGATCCTAGAATTTTTTGAGGATGTTCAAATTTTTAATACAATTTTGCTAATTTAATACTTTTTTTAATTATATTATTTCTTACAGCTAAAGCCAATGAACAATCTAAATTCCTCAAATGTAAGCATGTTAGACGACCCAGGTAATGTTGGACCGACGTCGCAACTACAAAGACACATTTTGGTGGAAAGAAAGAGTACATCAAGCACTTCAAAATTTTTGTCAGTAAATAAAAATAACAGGAGTGCTAATTCGAAAAAAAATACACCGAAAATCAGTCTTTCACCTGCCATGGAAGTGCAACAGAAAAAAACTAATAACCCTAGATCAAATCTGGCGTCCAAATATCACTCAGACGAAGAGGCAAGATTTAAACTAGCACTCACTAGAGCACTATACCCGAATTTAAAAGAAAGAGAAAAAAATGGTTCAGATTTGATCAATGCAAGTGAATTAAATGACCACAATAATGTTAGTCAACATTTACAACTACCACCGAAAAAGAATTCGCAGAACTTGGTCTCGAGTCAGAAGGTCCACTCAGTACCACGGACACGAATGAACAGAAATAACGAAACTCTTGCATCGAGAAATCAGCTACAGAAAAATATTCCTCCACGACCACTAATTTCGAACTGTTTAAAGTCAAAAGAATCAATAAACATCGACACTGTGGAAAATATTGTTGACCAGTTCTTTTCAGTACCTGAAAACAATATATCTCTGGAAACTCAAGCAAGTAATTGCTCACAAACAACTCGATTTAAAGAAATGAGCACGCAAACGTCGTTCAATGAAAGTTTTATTAGTGTATCAACTCTCAGAAATGTTGTACCACCGTCTAGACAAATTGGGTCTATTTCTAGTGCACAGTCCAGCCAAAATGGTGACCTAAATAGCGACTTTAGCTTAGTTTGTCAAGACAACACAATGAGACACTGTTTTGCAAAAAATACCCCTAAGATGTCTCTAGAGAGACAATTGTTGGCTAAACGAAGACACATTTTAGATGTTTTATCTCAAGATGTCACCCTGTTGCCAGATGGCAGAAAAATGTACAACAATATCAGTAAAATTGGTACAGATGAATGGTTAAGGTTTGCCTTATATTATGTTTCTAATGAAGCGATAATTAATAAACGCGAAAAAATGGTTGATATTGTGGAAACCGGAAATACTTTTGATATGTATGTTGATTACCGCACTCAGATACAGTTAAAACGCTACAACGACAAAGAAACAAAAGTGTACAAATTAACGAAAATAAGAGCTCTGAACTGTGGTATTTTTAAAAATGACGACACCGCCGGAAGCACCGAAATAATTACAACAGAAGCGAGTAAATCTCAGCTTCAACTGTCAATCAACGAGATATGTAAAAACCAAAGCTTGAGATGCGACGATTATGATCCACGAGAACTAGACAAGTCGAAAATCCGTATCAAAATTCATAGCATTTTTGCAAAAATGTATGAAGTGTTTGAAAATAATCAGATTCCGAATATACTATACGGACGACAACATAATTTCAAAGATTGTGTTTTTGAGAACGAAAGGTGAAATTTGTGGTCACTGCAACCGTTTTGTTGATAATATTTTTTCAGATTGAAGCGTGGACAGTTTTCTAAAAAAATCAACATGAAATACAAAAACTCTCGTTCTTTGTTTTGTCGCATAGTGTACGTTTTGGGAAAAATTTATGTTTTGCTTCAAACGAATAAGAAACTCACGAAAAGGTACTAAATATTGTGTTAAATCTGTATATTGAATGTTTCGTCTTTTAGAGAATTGTTTTATCAGATTAAACACATAATTGTGCGACAGTCTCTTGTGGATAGAGCTATTGATGAAGTGTCGCGTTTGTTGGGTCTGGGTCCGTGGAACCTCAATATAGTTACTCATTCGGGTTTGGTTTATGGGAATCTCCAACTAGTTTGGGCTTCTGGTGAAAAGACAAACTGTAATTTACCAGGTAGGTAATTAACGTAGTGTTACGATTCCACTTTTAAATTAAAATAACTAGCAACTTTAATACCATACGATTTGGACAATCTCGTCGAAGTACGATCCACTGCCGCTTTTATACTGGTCGTCGAAAAGGAGTCTATATTTCACAAATTATTAGAAGAGGACTTACCTAACAAACTGGCGCGTCCTTTTATTATGATAACGGTAGATTTACGTCACTTGGTTGCACATTTTCACACTAGTTTCTAGGGGAAGGGAGTACCCGACAATACCACTCGCCTATTTCTGAATAGAATTTCAAGAATAATGGCAGTACCCGTTTTTATTATTGCCGACGCTGACGTCTATGGAATTAAAATAATGTTAACGTACAGATTTGGGTCCTTTGTAAGGTACTACAATGTAATTGTGTTTTAAGGAACACCTTATTCTAGGCGAACTGTCACTTGTCGGACGATTTGGCAGTACCGCATGCTCGTTGGATGGGAGTTTTTCCCAATGAAATTAAAAAATACGCCATGAAAAATCAGCCAATAACCAAAAGGGATAAAAATCAAATTCAATCCGTCTTGAAGTATCCTTATCTAAAACAGTACCCAAAAATTGTCGCCGAATTGGAATTCTTGTTGTCTTGTAACATGAAAGCTTCTATTGAAGGTCTCTTGAAAAGTAACACGTTTCTGAGCGAATCGTACTTGCCTATGAAGTTTCTCAATCAAGATTTTATTTAATGATAGATGCGTTCGATGTTTAAGAATTTTGTAAAAACAATAAAACTCATTGTAAGCTAAAAAATTATAATTTTATTTTGTATCAAACACTTCGCTTCAAAACAACGTAATTTAAAAATATACATACATATTAAGTATTTCGACATTTCAATAAAAATTAAAATAACGGATACCTGAAATATCATCAATTCAATACAAAAAATAACGGCTATACTCTTACGATTATCATTTTTTATTTCTTTATAACATTATTTCCCATAGTTTTAAAATATTAAAACAACGCCATCTACAAGATTAACTTTTCACAAGACATCACTGCACGTACACAATCTTTTACAGACAAGAATTTATCACAATTAGGTATTATAATATTGAGGACAAGCTAGTGTTAGTGTGCACGATTTTAAATCACTTAATTACAATGGAATACAGCTGATAGTTCGTAGTTATGTTGTATATTAATCCTATTTTCACCCTGATTTTACTAAGTAACAATCTACCATTTTTACAACTTCTGTCAAAGTGTAATTTAAATTTTAGTTCAATATCCGTGTTAAGGAGACATGAGACCTAGAACTGGTATCTGATTGAAGTTGATATGATCTTAGAACCACGTTTAAGAGAGGAAATCTCGAAAGTAACGTAAGGGCAAATCAAGAAAAAGTAAAATAAAAGTAATTAAATATTAGTTTATTGTTTGAGTAATAACATAATTATGTATAACATATTTACAAATAAACTAATCTATAGTCATTATGTCTAGTTTTCTCAAAAATTTCATAAAAACACCGTGAAACGTAGTCTCTTGGCAATTATATCAACGCCCAAACTTACAACAAATAAATTATCTAATTTCAGATTGAGTTATTTGTTAAGTGACTTTATGCGTAAATACGTTAAATAATAAAACTACGAACGGAAAACGTTAAAACGTAAATTTACCTAAATTAGCCAATCATATACATAAAATCAAAATAACAAACAAATAAATCTAAACGAAAAATACACGACTTCCTCTCTAACCGATTGTAAGGTTATCACATGGAGACAACTGTTCAATAAATGGCGAGGCAAATCCATGCAACTTTTATTTCATGTTATGATGACCTATTGTTGTGACCCGACTCAATTTTGCGCTTAAAACTGATCAACATCACCATCCATTTATTACATACCGACCATCGATCCGTTCTGCCAATAGCGAGAAATTTAACTGCAACTTTAACTATTGGGAATAAGAAAGCTGTTCCTCTTCTTGGACAATTTGACGCAACCAGTTAGATCATCTCTCTGAGAAGAGAATGGCAGTCAGTGCATTATTATGCAGAAGGGCGACGAGAGAGGTCACTGATCCAAGATCTCAACCAAGGATGCGAAGGCACACGAGCCGAGTCCCGACGTGGACATCAGCTTAACCAATTCGTGGGCGTGCGCAATTGCGACTTCTAAAGGCGGCTTACGGGGCTTTTTATTTGATTCTGCAACATTTCGACGTTTTAAACGCCAATCAAGCGTCACACTTACCTAAAATGGCTGAATTTAGGGAAGCACAAACGGACTCCCTTTGTGAGGGCTGCAACTGCCAACCCACGGGACTGGCCCAGGGATTTGAGTACGCTAATAAACTAAATGCATCCTGAAAATAACACGTCATTGTAGACACTTTCACACTCTTCTGTACTGTACTCACTTCCAACATTTTTTGATTTGTCTCACTAGAACCTTTATCTACTGTCAACCGTTGGCTCATACTATATAATTCTCTACCAAATTCTAAGATTCGTTCCACTGCCGGTTTTGAACATGACTTCCGACACACTGGAACGTCCACGTCTGAAACGAAAAATCGTGAAACATGTTAAAAAAAATAGGTTGGCAACACCAACGCGTTCCTTATTTTAGGTTACCATGTTAATACTCACCCATGTCTTCGTCTTCGTTATCACAGCATTCGCCGTCCTGCGTGACATTATTATTATGGCTATTACCATTCTGGTACCCGTTCGTCGAATTATTTGTTTTGCCGTTGCAGGCATCCCCGTGCCCGTTCCGGTACTCCTCGGTGGTGTCCATTTCGACGTCACCGTCGTCCGTGAGTATTACGGGTACTTCGTTACAACTACTACCGTTATGCGTGGGCGCCGTCGTCGTCGTCGTGTTATTTTGATTCATTTCTTCCACGGTTTGTTTCGATTTATTGCTATAGTTTTTCGTCGATTGTATAACCGATGTTTGTATAGGGCTACTAGGTCTAGGCGAGACGCTATACGAAGGTGAATATCCGCTTTTCCTATGGCAAATCTCCACGTCCGAACCGTTTACCATTTCGACGAACTGCCGACATTTGAGCATAAATAGGAGATTCTGGTTATTCTCTAGGAGACCTGGGTACAGTCTACTCGTCCTTTCGATGGCCTCGCCCATCCTACCGGCTAACACTAACTTTAGAATTTCTGGAAATAAAAAAAGGGTTTGTTAGGGACGTGGGGAAATCCGATCAGCAAATCGTGGACGTGGAGAGACAATAAGCATTGTCAACGCCCTTCGCGATTGAGTTGAGCCGTAAAGTTTTGTTTGTAACATTTTACTGGGTTAGACAACCGGAAGAAAAAGGCGAAGGGCGGGGTTTAACAAAACGACTTTCCTTGGGTGGGATATGCTAAAAATAATCAATTGCCAACATTTGAAAAAAATAAGAACCAAAATTTTGAGATGACGTCATTACATTGTTGGTAGGACAAGCAAACAAATTTGGTCAGCGTTTAACCATCTACACGATAGTCTAAAAGTATATCTAAAATTCCGAGCAATCGGCCCGGTAGTTTTGGAGATTATATGTATTGATTTTAGAATTTGTCTCAGAGACCACAAACTTAATCGCTCTAGTACTAGCACACGATTTGCGGTTATGTTAGCCTTATACAGGGGTGTTCAAAAATGGCGCACCAACTCATTACATTGCTAAGTTCACAAGTTTTCAATAACTTTTTGTCGGAAATGTTTTTAATTTTTTATTGTTTCTTCAGTTTTCCACTTTGCAGTTTTTCGGTTTTCAATTTCTCGATTTTTTAATTTTTCATTTTTGTTTCCTTTGTTCTGTTTTTTGTTTTCTGTGTTTTTTCAATTTTTTGGTTTTTCAGTGTTCCGATTTATCATTTTTCTTCTTTTCGGTGTGACAATTTTCAATTTTTGGTTTTTCAATTTTTTGTTTCCTCAATTTTTGCATTTTTTTAATTTTCATTTTAATAATGTAGTAATAATTATATTTAAAAAAAAAATTCACTTTTGTCAATTTTACTATTTTAGAATTTTTCAGTAACTTACTAGACTTTTAAATTTTTTCATTTATTCGATATTTCAATTTTTCGTTTTTCGGTTCTTCAATTTGCAGTTTTCGATTTTTTGTTTTTTTCGTTTTTAATTTTTCGATTTTTTCCAATTTTTTGAATTGAAAAAAAAAATGGAAAAACTGCAAAACTGTAAAAGTGAAAAAACGAAAGTGAGTGCAAAATCGAAGAACGAAATTGTGTTGTAAAATCGAAATATGTATTAAAAATTAGATATCAGAAAATCCGATAATTGGAAACCGAAGTTGCAAAATTCAAATATTAAAAATAGGAAGATTAAGCAATTCAAATGAAAATTCAAAGATAGAAAATTTGAAAAATTGATGAAACGAAAAATTGTGATATAAAATCGAAAAATTTCTCGAATTTTAGATTTTTTGACATTTCGATTTCTCGATTCTTCGACTTTTCATTCGATTTTTGAATTCTTGATTTTTCGGCTTTTAGATTTCTCGATTATTTGGTTCCTTGATCTTTCGATATTTCAATTTCTCATCTTTTAGAATTTCCGTGTTTTGGATTTCTGGATTTTTAATTTTTTTGACATTTCGATCTCCCGATTTTTCCATTTTTTCAACCTTTCGAATTAAAAAAAAAAATGGAAAAATTGCAAAATTGCAAAGCTGAAAAAACGAAAAAGTATAAAATGAAAACATTGAAAAATCGAAATATTGAAAATTAAAGATATCGGAACATCCGATAATAAAAATTGGAAATCCAAAAATTGCAAAATTACAACAGTTAAAAAATAGGAACATTAAACAATTTAAATGAAAAATCAAAGAGTGAAAATTTTAAAAATTTAACAAACGAAAAATTGTGATATAAAGTCGAAAGATTTCTAGAATTTTAGATTTCTGCCTTTTTCGACTTTTCAACTATTCGATTTTTGAGTTCTTGATTTTTCGGCTTTTTAATCTCTTGACTTTCGGATTTTTTTCGATTTCTCAATTTTTTGATTTTCCAACTTTTCAAATTTTCGGCTTTTAGATCTCTCGATTTGTCGGTTTCGGGATCTTTGGATTTTTCGATATTTCAACTTCTCATGTTCTTGATTTTTCATATTTTGGGATTCTGGATTTTTTTTGACGTTTCGATCTTCCGATTTTTCAAATTTTTCGTTTTTTCAACCTTTCGCAAAATAGCACAAACTAAGAAAACGAAAGAGTATAAAGAGAGAATATTGAAAAATCCAAAAATTGGAATTCAAGAACTTGAAAAATCGAAAAATCGAAACATTAGAAAATGAGAAACTTAAAAATCGAAATATTGAAAATTAAAGATAATCAGAAAATCGGATCATTGGAAATCCAAAAGTTGCAAAATTCAAACGTTTAAAAAAAGGAAGATTAAGCAATTTAAATGAAAAATCAAAAATTCAAAATTCAAACGGCGAAAAATTGTAATATAAAGTCGAAATATTTCTCGAATTTTACATTTTTCTACCATTCGAATTCTCGGTCCGACTTTTCAACTATTCGATTTTTGAGTTCTTGACTTTTCGGCTTTTCAATCTCTTGACTTTCCGATTTTTCGATTTCTCAATTTCTCAATTTTTTTATTTTTCGGCATTTGAATCTTTAAATTTCTCATATTTTTGATTTTTCGCGTTTTGGATTTCTGGATTTTTAAATTTTTTGACATTTCGATCTTTCGATTTTTCGTCTTTTCGATTTTTACATTTTTTCAACTTTTCGAATTAAAAAAAAAATGGAAAAATTGCAAAACTGAAAAAACAAAAAAGTATAAAACGAAAATATTGAAAAATCCAAAAGTTGGTATTCAAGGCCTTGAGAAATCGCAAAAAAAAATTAAAAAATCGAAACATTAGAAAATGAGAAACTTAAAGATCGAAACATCGGATAATTGGAAATCCAAAAATCGTAAAATTCAAAAATTTAAAAATAGGAAAATTAAGGAATTTAAATGAAAAATCAAAGATTGAAAATTTGTATAAACGAAAAATTATAACATCGAAAGAAACATTGATAAAACGAAAAATTGTGATATGAAGTGGAAAGATTTCTGGAGTTTTGGGTTTCTGCATTTCTAGATTTTTTGTCATTTTGATTTCTAAATTTTTCGTCTTTTCGATTTTTCAAACTTTGGATTTTTCCACAATTAGATTTTTCGATTCTTCGACTTTTCAACTATTCGATTTTTCGATTTTTGAATTGTTCGATTTCCCGATCTTTCGATGTTTCGTTTTCTCGATAAAATGAAGATTAATTATTTTTTATAATATTTTTTTATTGTTCCTATTTTATACGAAATATATTGTCTCTGTATTGGTACGTCTGTACTGTTTGGCAATAAATTATTATTATTATTATTTATGACTCCCTGCAACAATTCTAAAAGTGTATTTATCTCATGAAAAACCTTTGCATTGGTATTCCCTCCCAAAAATTTAATGCCGTCACATATACAGGGTGAGCCCCCATTAAACTGCACTAATCGAAGGGCGCGCGCTTAGTGACTCACCCTGTATATTGTAGGATAAATCTCTTAAAATACTTCTAATTTTAAAAATTATACAGGGTTAGTCACGAGAGAATTACTTCTGAAAATTATTTTTACGCAACCCAAAATACTAATACCCTGTACCACTTGATATTATCTAAATTTAAAATGAAATGCCTAATCCATGATTGCTTTGACTTTGGCAGTGTCACTTTGACGTTAATTAATTTTTAACATTTTATTTCATCGTTGACTCGCCTCTAGAGCCCCATTGGATCGACGACATACAGTCAGATCAATCTGGGCTATACTGAAGCCGTAAGTGCTCTACCAATGTTGTCCCCCGCTAATGTGCATGTGTTAATTCGCCATCTCTGCGTCACCTAGAGCCTCTTCGAAGTGCAAATCTGCAACCTCTGGACTTCTTCGGCCATCCATTTACAAAAAAGCCGTAGCATCCCCCCAAAATGCCCAACATTTTCAACAGATTAGTAGTTAAATTATTTACTTACTTGTTTGAGTTTGTGTTGTAACCTTTGAATAAAATGCCGTAAAAGGAATTTTTAGAAATAATTTTCTCGTGATTAATCGGTTGCAAAAGATCAAGAGGCACACTGACAAATTTATTAGCGGCGCCGGAGGAGATTTCCGACTGGCTGCGGTACCACCATGGACACTCGCGTAACCTCCTTTTCCACAATTGTCAAAATGAGATTGTCAAACTCAAAGCAATCATGGATTAAGCATTTCATTTTAAATTCAGTTAGTATCAAATGGTACATGGTATTCGTATTTTGGGTTGCGTAAAAATAATTTTCAGAAGTAATTCTCTCGTGACTAACCCTGTATAATGGACTGCTTAGAAATTTGGTAAGACAATAGCGTGGACATATATCCATCGATACATATTAAATAATAAAGAAACTAGTAATAAAGACAGAAGTAAATAAAATTGCAATCAGTTAATTCCTTTCCAAGAAAGCATTAGGTGCGAGGAACCAAATATTATTTTCCTGCTTTAATAAAAGCGCAATTGAAAGTTATTGCCACAATGATAGCGAATTTCAAACAAAACTGATACTTCTTTTCAAACAACAAAACAGAAAAGATTTATTAATTGAAGGACACGGCATCCGAAAGTATATCTGTGAAAAATGTGTGTAAATTGCTTGATGATATAGCTTGAACATACCAAAGGATGTATACAAAATTAAGAAAATTCCAAAATCTATGAACCTGATTAACGTGAACAGATAAACAAGCACAATTTTTTAAAAAGATAAATAACTAAAAATAAACGTGTGTAATTTTGACGGAATTTTAAGCTCAGCATCAGTTTTCTTTAAAAAGCCACCTAATTCGGCAACATCTGGATGAGCAAACAGCTAAACGGCGAAAATGTGAAATGTCCATACAATTAAACATGTCCTGAGATGAGGGTTCGTTCGTACATTGTACATAACATTCTTTTTCCTTAATTAATGCATGGAATAATTAACTTTAAGGGTTACTCTACAAACGACTAAAATAATTTCCCCGAAGGAGCTGTGTTACAATGCACATATCATAATTAATATCTCCACCCCCACTCAAACGATAATGGCGCCATTTCAGAACTTATTTAAACCATCAGGCACTTTTTTACTTTCAAAGGACTTAATGGTTTATTCAAAATTCAACCACGGACAAGATTGGATACTCACTTTGTCGATTTTTAATAGACACTATATCTTCGTTAAAAGGTTGTTCGGTGATGTGGGCGAAGGCCTCCGCTGTGTTGCAGTAGCCGTGATGGACGAGGTACGTCGATACCATCCTGTCGACAACTTCCTTAACACATTTTTCAAACAAACCGAAAAATCACTTACTTGTTCAATATGGCCTGCCATTCTCCGTGACTTTCTGGTACTGGAAAATCGTTAATTTCCATCCTTGTCCTCGTCCCCAACTCCCTCATCATATCTTCTATATCGAAAACGAACGGCTCCTGGCCGAAATTTGCATCGACTACTTCACCGGGAGTCTGGAGGCCCACCGTCGGATACAAATTCGGCTACACATATTCAAAAACTTTAAAATGGTATCGCGATGCAGATCTGAAAATTTCACAGCAACCATAACGCCACGACAGTTTTCTTGTGGAAACTCGCTTTTGCGTGAAATGATTCGCATTTCTGATAACATTTGAATGACTCAACTCTAGTCCATGTTTGCGGTTGTTACTTTGACTGCAAATTCAAAAGATGTCAATAGATGGAAATTAGGATGCCGTTGGATTTTTGTTAGTGGCGCCGCCCCGTGGCCGGCTAACAACGCTAACACTACCTACAATAAATCATCGAATTACGCGAATGGAACTACGAATTTGTAACAAATATAAATAGATGCGAAAATTGCCGCTACCGAGACGCAGAAAACGCAAATATTCACGAAATTTCAGTCTAATTTTGCTTCGTTCAACATAAACTTGAACCATATAGGGAAAGATCAAGGTTTATGAACTGAAACGAATGACATACGATAGTGATAAATGGCGATAATGAGCCCTCTACTGATTGGTTTCCAATGTCATTATGTGTGCAAGGACGATCTTTCAAGGACCGTTCGTTACTCAAAAATTAAACAATAATTCGGTAAAGCAATTAAACATAAATGCGCATTTAAAAGGTTTTATAAAGCTTTATATTAACTAGTAAAAGTAATCCCACACAGCCACGTGTTGGGTGTCGTTGTTGCATCGGCGTGGGTGGAGAATATTGTTAATTGACATTCATATTCAGTTATGAATTAGCTTACTCTACTTAGTTCGCAGACATGGAACTGAATGTAGACTAAGTATGCATAACAAATTTTGAATCCCTATTTGAGAACTCGATTCGTCCTGCGAAATTAATCACGTATCTGCGTTTGTTTTTATTGTAAAGTGACGTTTGATTAAGTTAAGGCGTAAAATAAAACAATTTTATTAGACGGAACCAATTTTAGCATCAATATGGTTAACCGACTTTTGTATGGGTTTTTAAAACAATACATTTCGATTTTATATTAATGTGGAGGAGCTTATCAAAGTAAATTTGTTATACTTCATTTGTTTGTAATATGAGTGATTAATCATTTTGTGATTTAATACCGTCTTGGTGTTTGTTTAGTATTTTTTCCTTTCTAAAGTTTATTAAGTTGGTATTAAAATAATAATTTTGAAAAGTGTGACACGGCACTCCTTTTATTATGAAACCAAAAATTAAAAGACTACTCAACTGGCAACACAGTACGAAAATGACAACATTGTTTGGGAAGACTTTTGGCGCCAAGATGTGTTGTCAAAAAATTGAGGTTAGTTTTCAATCAAGTCACGTTGTGTTTGTTTATTTTGGCACTATTCACTAGAGTGTTCTTTTTTTTTAAAGACGTTCGCAATACGGAAATTCTACTGTTTTTACTCTCCTCGATTAAACCACTTAAAACACTTAAGTGCGTTAATAATTTTTAAGTGGTATTCCCACACAAAATTGAAACTATTCTTTTAAATTTTTTGGTCGTTTTGCTTTCTTACATTACAAAAGTTACGGTTGTGTGTTCCAGATCAGGGCTAACTTCATCTGAGTAAATTCCATGGGCGAGGTGATTTCCAGAATCAAATATTTTCATGTCACCATAATTCTAAGATATAATTTATGCTAAAATCTGATTTAGCACAGACACGGATTTTATGTCCTCTCCTACATCACATTTACAACGAATAAAACTTGAACTCTCTTATTTATTGCGAGTGCTGTTTTTTTTTTAATAAATATTGTTTTTCCTATCCAATATAGTTTTTTCTATTGTAGCTAGTTGTGCTGTCACATATTCACTTGTACTTTTTGTTTTAAATTTCTTTTTACTTTATGAGCACAAGGTAGTACGTACTGTAATTTCATGTTTTTTTCGATGTTTCGTTAATCTTAGAATATGAAAGAGTAGTTCCCCCTTTTCGTCTGTTTATTACTCCGAAACTATTGATTTAAGGAGTAGTGAAATTTTAGATTTTTAATGATATTACGTAGATGTCAAAATGATAACCATAATTTGTCTGATCGCGATCCCCAAAGGCTATTTTCGGCTTCATTTCGTCGAAAAATTCTAGCACTTTTTCAAAGTCGCCGACTGAAATGCCGAAAATTTTAGGATTTTTAAAAAAATTCGACGTTCGCACCAAATGTTTCGAAAATTTTGGCCCGTGACCGTAAACACACTATATTTTACAGATCAGCATATCGAGATTAAATCCTAGAATTTTTTGTGGATTTTTAGGACACTTTTCCAAAAGCTCAATTTTTCAAAACCTTTTGGATTTTCAAAACCTAGACATTTTATGATTTATTTCTTCGAAAATTCCTATCATTTTTGCAGAATCACACCTAGTGTTTAAAAAATCTTGCTCTGGAAGAATAAAACTTTTACATTTTTCGAAGTAACACCTTGAGATCCATGTCAGAATTTTGTCTGCATTTTTTGGCAACTTTTCTAAAAGCTACATTTTTCAATACCCCTCCATTGTAAAATTACTAAAAATAACAGGATTGTGTTCCCAAAATTTTCTGGGAAAATGGAGTGAGCCGTTCCTGATTTAATCAATAAAATAAATTGACCCATTAGGCGGGATGAGCAAATACATTTTGATCAAAAATTACGCTATGATAACTTTAAAATATTTCCAAGTTTTAAAAGAATGTTTTGCAAAATTTTTTGGTAAATTTTTGTAGACAAATATGGATTCTGCAATTAAGCTCCGCCCCTGAATGTGATAACAAATGAAAAATTCATCACAAGTGAGATATGGGTGGTGGGCGGGGTTTAATCGTTCACTTCTTTCTCTAAATATGTATATACAGTTTTCTTCTACCAACACGATACTTAAAATATGTTTCACATAGTAATTTCTTGTAAAAATAAGGATTTTGCTGAACTCCGCCCCGCCCTCTCACAGCGAATAAAAAAAATTAATCACAATTAAGGGCTAAATATAAGCCCCGCCCACCCGCCCCCATCTCAATTGTGATTATTTTTTTATTTGTTGTGAGCCAGAGGCGGAGCTTAATTGCAAAATTCTTATTTCTCTACAAGAAATTATTATGTGAAACATGTTTTAAATATCTTGCTCTTGAAAAAACTAAATGTATTAAGAAAAGGAAGCAAATAAATAAGCCCCGCCCACCCACTCCTGCCTCAAATTTGATGAATTTTTCATTTGTTGTCAGATCGACGGGCAGAATTTAATTACCAAATCCATAAAATTTACCATTGAAACATGTTTTAAGTTTCTTATTGTGAAAAGGTGACGAAAAAAAAAGTAAACATAGGAAACTTAAAACATGTTTAAAATGGTAAATTTTTGTAGAGAAATATAGATTTTGCAATTAAGCTCCGCCCCTGGATTGATAACGAATGAAAAATTCATCACAACTAGGATATGGGCGGGTGGGCGGGGCTTAATAATTGCCCTCTTTTTCTTAATATATAATTTCTTTCAACAATACGATACTTAAAATATGTATCACATGGCAATTGCTTCAATAGAAATTAGAATTTTGCCAAGCTCCGCCCCTGTCTCACGACAAATAAAAAAATAATAATCACAATTAAGGGCTAAATATATGCCCCGCCCACCCGCCCCATCTCAATTGTGATTATTTTTTTATTGGTTGTGAGAGGGGGGGAGCTTAACTGCAAAATCCGTATTTCTCTACAATAAACACCGTGTGAAACATACTTTAAGTATCGTGTTGTTGAAAAAAACTAAATGTATTAAAAAAAAAAACAATAAATTAGCCCCGCCCACCCACCCCTACCTCAATTATGAATGTGAATTTTTCATTTGTTGTCAGATCGAGGGGCAGACTTTAATTACAAAATCCATAAAATTTACCATTGAAACATCTTTTAGTTTCTTGTTGTGAAAAGGTGACCACGTATATTAAGGGGGGAAAATACACATAGGAAACTTGAATTTTTGTACAGAAATATGGATTTTGCAATTAACCTCCGCCCCTGGTTGTGATAACAAATGAAAAATGCATCACAACTAGGATATAGGCGGGTGGGCGGGGCTTAATCATTGCCTTCTTTTTCTTAATATATAATTTCTTTCAACAATTAATACGATACTTAAAATATGTATCACATGGCAATTTCTTCTATAGAAATTAGAATTTTGCTAAGCTCCGCCCCTGCCTCACGAGAAATAAAAAAAAAATCACAATTAAGGGCTAAATATATGCCCCGCCCACCCGCCCCCATCACAATCTTGATTATTTTTTTATTGGTTCTACAAGAATTACTGCGTGAAACATATTTTAAATATCGTGTTGTTGAAAAAACTAAATACATTAAGAAAAAGAAGCAAATAAATTAGCCCCGCCCACCCACCCCTCCCTCAAATGTGAATTTTTCATTTGTTGTCAGATCGAGGGACAGACTTTAACTACAAAATCCATAAAATTTACCTTTGAAACACGTTTTAAGTTCCTTGTTATGAAAAGGTGACGATGTATATTAAGAAAAAAGACAAAAAAGTAAACATAGGAAACTTAAAATATGTTTAAAATGGTAAATTTTTGTAGACAAATTTGGATTTTGCAATTAAGCTCCGCCCCTGGATGTGATAACAAATGAAAAATTCATCACAACTGAGATATGGGCGGGTGGGCGGGGCTTAATTATTGTTTTTTTTCTTAATATATAATTTCTTCCAAGAATACGATACTTAAAATGTGTCGCATGGTAATTTCTTGTATAGAAATTTGAAGTTTGCTAAGCTTCACCCGCGGCTCACGACGAATAAAAAAAAGTTATAACAATTAAGGGTTAATGTAAGCCCCGCCCACCCACCCCTACCTCAATTGTGATGAATTTTTCATTTGCTGTCAGATCGAGGGGCTGAGTTTAATTACAAAATCCATAAAATTTACCATTGAAGCATGTTTTAAATTTCCTGTTGTGAAAAGAAAAGGCGACTACGTATATTAAGGAAAAAAAAGCAAACATAGGAAACTTAAAACATGTATAAAATGGTACATTTTTGTAAACAAATATGGATTTTGCAATTAAGCTCCGCCCCTGGATGTGATAACAAATGAAAAATTCATCACAACTGAGACATGGGCGGGTGGGCCGGGCTTAATTATTGCCTTTTTTTTCCTAATATATAATTTTTTCCAAGAATACGATACTTAAAACGTGTCACATGGTAATTTCTTGTATAGAAATTTGACGTTTGCTAAGCCCACCCTCGGCTCACGACGAATAAAAAAACTTATAACAATTAACGGTTAATATAAGCCCCGCCCACCCACCCCTACCTCAATTGTGATGAATTTTTCATTTGCTGTCAGATCGAGGGGCTGAGTTTAATTACAAAATCCATAAACTTTACCATTGAAACATGTTTTAAATTTCCTGATGTGAAAAGAAAAGGTGACTACGTATATTAAGGAAAAAAGTAAACATAGGAAACTTTTTGTAAACAAATATGGATTTTGCAATTAAGCTCCGCCCCTGGATGAGATAACAAATGAAAAATTCATCACAACTGAGATATGGGCGGGTGGGTGGGGTTTAATCATTCACTTCTTTCTCTAAATATGTATATACAGTTTTCTTCCACCAACACGATACTTAAAATATGTTTCACATGGTAATTTCTTGGAAAAATAAGGATTTCGCTGAACTCCGCCCCGCCCTCCCAAAGCGAATAAAAAAAAATTAATCACAATTAAGGGCTAAATATAAGCCCCGTCCACCCGCCCCATCTCAATTGTAATTATTTTTTTATTCGCTGTGAGCCGGGGGGCGGAGCTTAATTCCAAAATCCTTATTTCTCTACAAGAAATTACCGCACGAAACTGTTTTAAAGATCGTGCTGTTGAAAAAACTAAATGTAATAAGAAACAGAAGGATATAAATAAGCCCTGCCCACCCGCCCCTACCTCAATTGTGATGAATTTTTCATTTGTTGTTAGATCGAGGGGCAGATTTTATTTACAAAATCCATAACATTTACCATTGAAACATGTTTTAACTTTCTTGTTGTGAAAAGGTGACTACGTAGATTAAGAAAAAAGAAAAAGGTGAACATAGGAAACATAAAACATGTTTAAAATGGTAAATCTTTGTAGACAAATGTGGAATTAAGCTCCGCCTCTGGATGTGATAACAAATGAAAAATTCATCACAACTGAGATATGGGCGGGTCTTAATCATTGGCCTATTTTTTCTTAATATATAATTTCTTACATAGAAATTAGAATTTTGCTAAGCTCGGCCCTCGGCTTACAACGAATAAAAAAATTAATCACAATTAAGGGGTAAATTTAGCCCCGCCCATGCGCCCCCATCTCAATTACGATTATTTTTTTAATGGTTGTGAGCCGGTGGCGGAGCTTAATTGCAAAATCTTTATTTCTCTACGAGAAATTACCGTGTGAAATATATTTTAAGTATGGTATTGTTGAAAAAAATTAAATATATTAAGAAAAAGAAGTAAGTAAATAAGCAACGCCCACTCGCCTCTACCTCAATTGTGATGAATTTTTCATTTGTGTCAGATCGAGGGGCAGTTGTTTGTTTAATTTCAAAATCACTAAAATTTACCACTGAAACATGTTTTAACTTTCTTGTTGTGAAAAAGTGACTACGTATATTAAGAAAAAAAAAAAAAAAAAGAAAAGAAACAGGAATATGGACTTGGCAATTAAGCTCCGCTCCTGGATGTGATAACAAATGAAAAATTCATCACAAATAAGATATGGGCGGGTGGGTGGGGCTTAATCATTTGCTTCTTTTTCTTAATCTATAATTTCTTTCAACAATACCATATTTAATATGTATCACATGGTAGTTTCTTGTTTAGAAATTAGAATTTTGCTAAGCTCCACCCCCGGCTAACGACGAATAAAAAAAAATTAATCACAATTATTAAGGGACTAAATATAAGCCCCGCCCACCCATCCTTACCTCAATTGTGATGAATTATTCATTTGTTCTCAGATCGAGGAGCAGTTTAATTACAAAACCCATAAAATTTACCATTGAAACATGTTTTAAGTTTCCTGTTGTGAAAAGAAAAGGTGACTACGTATATTAAGAAAAAAAAGTAAACATAGGAAACTTAAAACATGTAAAAATGGTAAATTTTTGTCGACAAATACGGACTTTGCAATTAAGCTCCGCCCCTGGATGTGATAACAAATGCAAAATTCATTACAAATGAGATATGGGCGGGTGGGCGGGGCTTAATCGTTCACTTCTTCTTAACATGTACACATTTGTCTTTCAACAACACGATACTTAAACATGTTTCACATGGTAATTTCTTGTCGAAAAATAAGGATTTTGCAATTAAGCTCCGCCTCCGATTCACGGCGATTAAAAAAAAATCATCACAATTGAGATGGGGACGGGAGGGCGGCGCTTACATTTAACCTTTGCATACTAATCATATTTTGCAAATTTTAGACAGGATAAGCAAATATATTTTGATTAAAAATTTAATATGCTTATCATAACTATAAAACATTTGCAAAATTTCAAAGTATTCGGTTTTGCATATTCAAAATTAAATTGCATGTTTTTTATAATTTTGATTTTTTCCAAAAATCTGGAAGTTTCGGGTAAAAACTCAACACGAAGTCCGAAAGTACATGTGTAGGACTACGTTATTTTATACAATTTAAAACTCATTTACTATGTACAATTTTGAACTGACGTCATCACATTATTGGTGGGGATGATTAGACAAATTTTGGTTAGCGTTTTACCATCTACATGATATTCCTCATATAAATGTAAAATTTGACAACAATCGGCCCATTACTTTCGCAGATTATCCGTCTAATAAAAATTGGGACGGCAGACAGACGGACAGACAGACTGACAGACGGAAACGGGAGACCCATTTTTTCGGACTCGATTACAATACTTCCTTTGCGTACGCTCGGGACGCAGAAACGTAAGTTGTGTGCAACTCACAACAGGAGCATCTTATACAGGGTGATGCACAAGTAATAATGAGCCTAATCAAGCCGAAGATGCAACCTAAAATACATTTTCAAAGGTTTCATATATTATAGAATTATTTTTTAACAAAATTTATGGTTTCAATAGGACGCTGCTCCTGCACATTATCAAAGATTTTTTTTCGGGGGCGCGTATTTGGAAAATAAAGTAAAACAAACATAAATTCTACCTCACCAATGTTTAATGCGGATAAAAATATCATGCACCTATGAATCCTTTGCAATGTATTCTGGGTTGCGTTCCCAATTCTGTCGGGCACATTAATACTCGTGAATCACTCTGTATAATAGGTTATAAGAACCCAGCGATCTTCCATCTTCTATCAGTCGATATACTTCGTACTTATTATAACTCATAGAGATCCACTTCCATTGGTTCAACTAGCCACGAACAAAACTATCGAATTTACATTAGTCGCGTCTACAAATAGCACATTTTATTCAATCATTCATGTAAGCTCAAATAAGCTGAAGTATTACCTTCTTTCTAAGTCTAATTTGGAGGGTCCGACTAAAGCAGTAAAATGTGTATGAAAATGGCAACCGACGCACCAAAACAGTGACACATTGCTTTAGTCAAACCCGCCAAAACTCACTGCACTACAGACGACACAACACCACTACTACTCCTACAAGCGCTAAAATCGCCTTAATTCCATTAGCAACTCACGAAATCCCACAACCGCTCCGATACTCCCTTAACAAAAGTGAAACCCTCCACACAGTCGCTCTTTCGCCCCGAACTTACAGGCAAATCTGTGAAGGCGGTGCCTAAGTGGTGTCCATTTTTCGTGTAAAAGCACGTATTATCAATGAGATTGACACCGCATCCGATCACGTCGCCCGTGGTGAAGGTGGGTCCGTATGGTTGTCCGGTGCCGGACGAACAGAACGAGTGGCCGTCGTCGCCGTGATAACCGTACGACTGTTTGTCCCAGCCTAGAAGGACTCCACCTCATTAAGGATACATCGATTGCTACGTCTCCACGTACTTGTATTACCTGGTAATCGGTTCATGTTGACGCCCTGGGCCGACAGGCCGATGCCCATGTAGCCGTCGCGGCCTTTACTGACGATTTTCACCTCGAAGTAGTAGAGGCCGCACGCCGCTGGGATCGGATGCGTTGCTTGGACGCTGGCAGCATCTCGGTGGGTTTTGCCGTGACCTGAAAGACGAAACTCGGGTCAAGTTTGCTGGGTTGTCGAAAGTCGATATCGGCTGTTGAATTGGCAGGGCGATTAGCAATTCGACCACGTGATTGCATTCTTTTAGAAAGTTCATGCAGCGAGAAAGATAAAATACGATCGGGTTGTAGAGTTTATTGGTTCGAAGTGCGAGAAAGGCTCTCAACTGGCTCCGTCGAGCACAAAGTTTTAGTTTAGTTAGTATCAAGATTATTTAGTGGCTCAAAAAATGGAATTTAGGGGTTCAAGGCACTCCAAGCACTATTTTTGTTGGGTAGGATATAACTCCCAGGAGATGGCGAGAAAAGTGATTGTGTAATGTAAAGTCACGTCGTAATTAGTTCCCCGATTAATTTTTTTTTTGAGAAATCATATCTCGTATATCTCAGTGAATGTTACAGGTGCTTCCGCCAATAAATGAATGTTGTTGATCATTGAACTTCCCGACTCAACAGACACATTGTAACTGAATACGGAAATGCAGTTTTATGACAACTCTGCCTATTCATTCTCTTAAAAAAAATATCTCAAAATGTTTTCATGCATTTTGGTTTCTTTGTATGTACTCAATAATACAGACTTATTGTTACATAAAAAAAAAGCTTTCATACTTTGAGAGACACTAAAATTAAGTGAAGGATTATAGGATATTATTCAATTTATTCATCCTCGGTTTCTGGGAACACAGTAACAATATAATTAGTCTTAAAACTAAGAAATTGGTCTAAACAGTTTAGAGAGTACTTCTCATAACCGTGACTCCATTCCGATCGTGTTTCTTCTCTCTTTAATTATTGTTGCGAAAATCTGGATGTTTAGGGTAAAACCTCAACACGGATTCATAAGCTACAAATATAGGAGTATGTTGTATTATAAAATTTAAATGACATTTACTAATGTAAAGTTTAGAGAAAGCGTCAACAAAGTTTGATTACGTTGTGCTATCTACACGACCTTCACAAAATACATATAAAATTTGGCAAATAAAGATAAACAAGTTAACAATGTTTCGTAACATAGTGCAATAGAATCATAGACAGTGGCGGAGTATGGGCCCTACCAATGGAAAAAAATGTCCTCTCAGCAATAATAATATGCTTAACTTCGAATGTTTATGTACATCAAGAGAATACCAAGTAAAAATTTGTCTGATTTGAATGAGTTTCTCAAACCCTCCTAAGAAGAGTTGTTAAAATTAAGTCACTATAGAAAAAATGTTTTGAATATTATTACTATAATTCTTATTGTATCATTATTAAAATAAAGAGGTGCGCATTTTCACATTTTCTAGAAAATTGGGTGACTCGTTAATCTGATCAACATAGATAATATCAGTTACAGCACAAAGAAAAAAAACACGGCCAACCGAAGTTGCACTATGGACTATTATTTTCTGAGTTACTGGTAATGCCATTATACTGTTTTTTTTTACGAAAATTTGGACACTTCGGAAAAAAGTCAAAGCGGATACGTACACCACAAGTATAGATATATATTGTTGTATAACATTTAAATTATTTTTAAAATAGAATTCTTTGAAATGACATCATCAAATTGTTGGTGGGGATGATTAGCCAAATTTTGGTTAGCGTTTCGGCATCTTCATGATACTCTCAATATACCGGGTGTCCCCAATAATGTCAAAGTTTTCAAAACCCTACGTTTAAAATGTTCGCAGTTAATTTTAGGTCCCCTGGTGTTTTATTTTCGGATAAATTTTAAGGACAAATTCTGTTGCTGGATGAACCTGAAAAAATCTTTTGAGCTTTTAGTGTATTATTTTTTACGAGTTTGAAAGTCTTGAGTGCCACAGTGTTTGGGTACCCATGGTGTATTATTTTGGGAGCCCATGGAGATTTTTTTTTGTAAATTAGTACTTGCTAAAATAAAACTGATTTTGGCAAATGACATACCCTCTAAGAAAAGAGAGGGCGGGTGGGCGGGGCTAGTACCTGCTAATATAAGAGTGATTTTGGCAAATGACACCCTCTAGGAAAACGTAGAGAGAATTCTGTTTTGTTACCTGCACAAAAGTTATATTTTCAACATGTGAGGTTGTTTCTTATTATTATTCTTATTATTATTGAAGATTTTAAAGTCGAGCCGCAAGATTTTAAATTATGGTCTGGAATCTTTGACGCTTCATTTTTTTCGAATCAGTTTCTCGATATCTACATCTGAGAATTTTTTGTGGATTTTTAGGCAACTTTTCAAAAATTTCGATTTTTTTTAAATTTCGAGCACTTCGAAAATTACCCAAAGACATTTTCTTGTAGAGTTCGACTTGTAGAAGTTATATTTAGCTTGACTTTTTCGAGGACTCCCACAATTTTTCCGTAATTTATTGATAAATTAAAAAAACAATTTTCGAGATACATTTAAAAATTTCCGAAAATCTTGGTCTGGGACCATTGACGCTTCATATTTTTCGATTCAGCTTCTGGAGATCTATTACATCTGACAATTTTTTGAGGATTTTTAGGCACGTTTTCAAAACTTTCGATTTTTCAAAATTAATTTTTTAATTATTTTTCGAGCACTCCTCGAAAATTACCCAAATACATTTTCTTGTTAAGTTCGAAGTCTATAAAAGTTATATTCGGGTTGACTTCTTCGAAAATTGCTACAATTTTTCTACAATTTATTGATAAAATAAAAAATGACAATTTTCAAAAATTTTATAAAATTCATTATCGAACAAATTTTCGAAAACCTTGGTCTGGGACCACTGACGCTTTATATTTATCGAATCAGCTTTTCGAGACTTGTAGTTGAGAATTTTTTGAGAATTTATTTGTAGACAACTGTTAAAAAATTTCAATTTTTTGAAATGAATTTTTTTTACCGTTTGTCGAACACTTCGAAAATTGCCCAAAAACATTTTCTTCTAGAGTTCGACTTGCAGAAATTAAATTCGGCTTAACTTTTTCGAAAATTCCCACAATTTCTCCAGAATTTAATGACAAAATAAAAAATTGAAATTTTTCCAGAAAAAAAAAAAATCATTATCAAACAGATTTTCAAAATCCTGGGTCTGAGACCATTGACGCTTCATATTTTTCGAATTAGCTTTTTGGGATATGCATTTCAGAATTTTTGAGGATTTTTAGGCAACTTTTCAAAACTTTCGATTTTTCAAAATTAATTTTTTAATTATTTTTCCAGCACTCTTCGAAAATTACCCAAAGACATTTTTTGTAAAGTTCGAACTCTAAAAGTTATATTCGACTTGACTGCTTCGAAAATTGCTACAACTTCTCTAGAATTTATTGATAAAATAAAAGACAATTTTCAAAATTTTTTAAAATTTCATTATCGAACAAATTTTCGAAAACCTTGGTCTGGGACCACTGACGCTTTATATTTATCGAATCAGCTTCCCGAGACTTGTAGTTGAGAATTTTTTGAGAATTTGTAGACAACTGTTAAAAAATTTCAATTTTCTGAAATGAATTTTTTTACAGTTTTCCGAACACACTTCGAAAATTGCCCCAAAAACATTTTCTTCTAGAGTTCGATTTGCAGAAGTTAAATTCGGCTTAACTTTTTCGAAAATTCCCACAATTTCTCCAGAATTTAATGACAAAATAAAAAATTGAAATTTTTCCAGAAAATAAAAAAAAATCATTATCAAACAGATTTTCAAAATCCTGGGTCTGAGACCATTGATGCTTCATATTTTTCGAATTAGCTTTTTGGGATCTGTATTTCAGAATTTTTGAGGATTTTTAGGCAACTTTTCAAAACTTTCGATTTTTCAAAATTAATTTTTTAATTATTTTTCTAGCACTCTTCGAAAATTACCCAAAGGCATTTTTTTGTAAAGTTCGAACTCTAAAAGTTATATTCGACTTGACTGCTTCGAAAATTGCTACAATTTTTCTAGAATTTATTGATAAAATAAAAAATGACAATTTTCAAGAATTTTAAAAAATTTCATTATCGAACAAATTTTCGAAAACCTTGGTCTGGGACCATTGACGCTTTATATTTATCGAATCAGCTTCCCGAGATCTGTTGGGAATTTTTTGAGAATTTGTAAACAACTGTTAAAAAATTTCAATTTTTTGAAATGATTTTTTTTACCGTTTGTCGAACACACTTCGAAAGTTGCCCAAAAACATTTTCTTCTAGAGTTCGACTTGCAGAAGTTAAATTTGGCTTAACTTTTTTGGAAAATTTCCACACTTTCTCCTTAATGATAAAATAAAAAATTGGCATTTTTCCAGAAAATAAAAAAAAACACTATCAAACAGATTTTTAAAATCCTGGGTCTGACACCGTTGACGCTTCATATTTTTCGAATTAGCTTTTCGGGATCTATATCTCAGAATTTTTTGAGGATTTTTAGGCAACTGTTAAAAATTTTCAATTTTTTTTAATTAATTTTTTTACCGTTTTCCGAACACACTTCGAAAATTGTCCAAAAACATTTTCTTCTAGAGTTCGACTTGCAGAAGTTAAATTCGGCTTAACTTTTTCGAAAATTCCCACAATTTCTCCAGAATTTAATGATAAAATAAAAATTGACATTTTTCCAATAAAAAAAAAATCATCATCAAACAGATTTTCATAATCCTGGGTCTGAGACCATTGACGCTTCATATTTTTCGAATTAGCTTTTCGGGATCTATATCTCAGAATTTTTTTGAGGATTTTTAGGCAACTTTTCAAAACTTTCGAGTTTTCAACCCTGTAAGAAAAGAGAGGGCGGGTGGGCGAGGCTAGTACCTGCTAAGATAACACTGGCTTTAGCAAATGACGTAGAGACTCCAAAGCACTTAAATTCTTCCCAAACAGGAATACCTAGAACCTCAAGATTTTCTTAAATTAAAAAAAAAACAGCGTTCCAAAATTAACTCAGAAACAGGTCAGGTCAAAATTTTCCAAAAATAGAACACCAAAGTCCCTCAAAATTGTTTTAAATAATTTACAAAAAAGCACTTAAGACATTTTCAAATTCATTAAAAATAAAACACTA